TCTGTCTGTCTGTCTGTCTGTCTGTCTGTCTGTCTGTCTGTCTGTCTGTCTGTCTGTCTGTCTGTCTGTCTGTCTGTCTATGTTCTTGGTGTAGCAAGGCTTTGCAACAATATTGACTGTTACATGTTTCTGTGCTGAGGCGGGGTCCTATGACACCCAGGGGAATGCACACCCCCAGTTTGACAACTATACTGCATAAAGCTAAGAAGCAAAATTTAAGCATTAAATCCAGCAGGTGTAAAAGTGACTGACAGGTGTGTCACTGTTCAAAGCTGTACCATTTGGTTTGTTTCTTCAGCATGCACAGATGTGTGGTCACAGCCCTGGCTGCCACTCTGAAGCTCAAGGGATCCACGGATTTTTACTCTTTTATAAAAAAGCATCTCTAATATAACCTTGTTTAAAGTGAGCAGGGACCTGTGTGTGGTGAACAGACTTCTGTAAGTCGCTCTCTGCATGGGCGCAGCGCACAAGTCCCCCCAAGATTTAAAGTAACCCTGATCAGTTTTCCCACTTTCCCCGATAGGACGAGAAACATCTCTGATCAAAACTGATTATTATTGTTGTTAGTTCGCTGACGCTCCCACAGAGCTGCAGCAGCGGCCAAAGACAGCCCACCCCCACACCCACCTTCCTTTTTCACACACAGAGCGGAGCGGTGCAGCACACACACACACATGTGTTTGTTCTATTCTTATGGGGACCTCGCATTGACTTCTGTTCATTTACCCGGTCATTTATACAGCCTAATCCTGACCCACCAACAATATTTTCCCCAGCGGGGACCGGGCTTTTTTCGCCATGAGGAACAGTGTCCTTACCAGGCTGTGTTTACAGGAAAAATGGTCCCCACCAGGTTGCAAAAACCTGTAGACACACAGACACAGGCTGAGCACGTTGTGTCAGGCTGCCTTCTCTGCCTTCTTCAGTATAAACGAGTTGAATCCGGAGTGCAGGCTACAACTGGTGGAAGAGGTAATGTAAGACTCCTCTGATAATGTCCAGCTTTTGGTAAAACTGTAGTCTTTACAAAAAAACGGAAAAATCTTCCCACAACACAGTTTTTTCTACCAAAACTAAGTACAGAGTTATCTAGTCCAGGTGACCCATTGTTGGCTAGTTTAAGTTCAGTGATGAGTTTAAATCTGTTATTGAGGTGTTTTTAATCAGTTAAACTGTACTTTAATGACAAGAATAAGGAAACTGAAGCTAGTAAATTACAGAAATTGGTCAATTGAAACATTTAACGTACTGCTTGTATTATTAGCAAGAATAAAATGTTTATTTTTTTAGAGTTTCAGTATTTTCTGCATAAAACAGTGCTTCATGGGCAGAGAACTAACTTTTAATAACAATAATGCCACTTGAAATAAAATTTAAGACCAACTTCACAATAAAAACAAATGAGGAAAATCAAGAACAATTAGTCATCTCAATTTATTCATGTTATATCATATTTTCTTGACATTTTTAAAGCAGACTGGTAGCAGTAAAATAAACCCAATATTTAATCCATCTCAATATCCGTTGATGTAGGAGCTGAAAMTCAGAGGTTGTTATTAATATCAATCAGTTCATTGTGTAGTTAATATTTTAAAGATGCAGATGCTTGGCACAATGACATGTTACAAACAAAACTAAATCAAGAACAAACATTAAAGTAAAGTTCTCCTCTGAAGTCGTTGTTTGGGATAAAATGTCACCTTAATTTCATTATCTGAGCCACAGCAGTGAGTTTAAAAACAGGATGATTCAACTGGATTCTGTCTCTCATTTA